GAGTCAGCGGCTTACTATCTTACGGCCAGTGCAATATCCTCTGGTCGACGAGATGGTGAGAAAAAATGGTTCTTGTCGTCTTTTCCCTCAGACGCCGTGAAATTGCTTCGTTAAAACAAGGAACAAAAATGACACGACTTTGGAGGTAGACAACACACCTGACTCCACGTCGTACGATTTGAAAATCCACAATTATGAACTGAAGCCATTCGAACTCCGTCCACAGATAAAAGTCACCTGAATTGAAATGCACATTTACGGAGCAGCGAACAAGGCAGGGATCACATGCCAGGATGCAGTATGACGAATTTCACTATCCTCAGCAGATGTAACGGTCACGACGGATTTTACTGAAGCAAATAACCCTCGACATCGGCAAACGATAAAAGGATGCCACGGAATTACAGATTATTCTCTCTTACTTTAAAGGTAAACATATCTAGAAGATGAAAACTTGACTACATATCGGGACAGATAGTTTGGGAGACATCATTCATTGATATCGAGTTCGTAGCTTGGCTGGAAATTGAGGAAAGTAGTTCGGCGTTGTTGGTTTTTGTTGGACGCTCTCCGATGCTCCCAATACTTGTATAAAAAAAACAATTTCCGAACTAGATTGTGTTTTCCTTTAAAAGAGTTTCGACTACCGGCATATTTTATGCGAATTCTGCTTAGGTTAAAATTGCATTGATCAATCGTTTCATTGTACTTATCAATAGAAAGAGTATGATGCCTACAGAAGCGAACACCGGGGCTTTCTTCGAAAGACCGTTGATGAGACGAGACTCGACAAGTGTTGGAGTATGGCAGTTTCAGATTCATCCACTTATCATCGCTGATATCCGTGGCTGCGCTACCTCGTTTCTTTCAGATAAACTTTCCGATACCTCTTTCTCAGTGGACATCTAATCATCACCCTAGAGGAAACGCTTGCAATAAGGACCTATCATGTTGCCGTCGGCATTTTTCATGCTGTCTATGCACTGACGAGGCTGTTGACTTGATTTGTACTGAAGATGTCCCAATTTGACTAGTACCATTCGACCGAATATTATACAGCATTTAATTGACCAGAATAAACATATAATCGTATTCGAAAGAAAGCCCTCCAAAAATGGGTTTCAATGGATATACTGGCCTTTGCATAACATGAATTCAACGAAAGATGCTGTACAAACGCCCCCGCAATCGGCTCGATCAAAGAAGGTAATCCGTAAACGCGCTGTTGCGCTTTAAACCGACGTAGTTCACAACACTTTAAACTCACTCGGTAATAATTGGTCAATTGAAAAGCTGTAAAAGTGTCTTTCGTCAAAGCTAATGGTTGCTTACTTCGAGAATATAGCATCTACGTTGCTGAACGCGGCCTCACTTTGACATCGTAATTAAACTCAGACGTGCTGCCCGTGCGC